CCCATTTCCCGGCAGACTTCCGCCTCGATCGCGCCTTGCGGTCTATGGAGCCGCCCTTCTGGACAAGCGCTGCCTGGACTGCCCTGTGGTCCGAACCCAGGTCAAGGCTGTCCACGGCAGACGCGTGGAGCACGTGAAAACCAGGCCCGTGCAGATCAAAATCGATCTGCCGCTTCACACCCAAGCTGCTTATGAACGTGCACGCCTTTTCCAGAGAGAAACCCTCGCCGTCGTTGGCGATTTGTAAACTGAAACAGCTGGTAAATCTCCAGAGCTTCTCTGCGCGAGTCCCTGCATTGAGGTGTGTGTTGAAATCTCCACCGATTGCGTAGCAAGGACTGAAGGACGAAGCCCACTCCGCGGCTGTGGCCAAGCACTCGTACGTGTCGTCCAAAGCATTCGCAGGGTATCCTGCGTGCGGCATGTAGCAAGAAATCACGCTTAATCTCACCCCTTCTCTGAGAAGACGCACAGCAATAACTCGATCTCCATAGCTTCTTTTTGCAACAACATGGTCTGCCCAACTTGAATGAATTAAAACAGACACTCCACCGTAACCCTCGCCACGGTGGCTTATCAGCTTGTGGTTGCCATGGAGCTCGCACTCTGCCGCAGCGGCCCTTGTCTCGCTGAAGCAAACGAAGTCCCACGTCATGCCGTGCAGCTCGGATAGCATGTCCGCCAACCTCTGAGCTGTGTGTACACGTGCATTTTTACAATAAACCGTCACCTGCTGTGGGGGGTGAAACAATGTGCTCGCCGGGTGCTGTCCCTAGTGGGGGTCCTTCTTCCCCTTGCCCTTGCCTTTTCCGGCCCCCTTCCCAGCTGTACCCCGCTGGAGTCGGCCAGCGTGTTTGGCGAGGAGTTCCTTCCACTCTCCGTCCTCCCTCAGATACTCCTCCCAGCCCTCCCCGTACTTTATCTGCATCGCCCCGTTCTCCACCTTCGCCTCCACCAGCGTGTCCCCCCCTAACGTCAAGACATTCGTGTCCACTTCGACCCAGAAGGCCTTCTTGTCGAAGCCCCACTGAACGAACGAAGCCTTCGCCCCAAACAGCGTGGTCTGCGGGGCGCGCACGTGGACAGGCAAGTCCGGCTTCGCCCAAACTGTTTTGTCTCCACGCACGAGGCGTGCCTCCCGGATCTTCGATATTGCCAGGTCCCGAGCTGAGGAAGAAGCGAAGACGCCGAACAGCATGTTGGAGAACTCGCCCTTGCAGTACACCTCACACGCGCCTGGGGCATTACACCACCAGAGCTGGTCGGTCAGCCACCTCCCGGCGTCGTCCTTCCCTTCGAAGCCGATGAGGTTCCCGAAGACCGCTGTCGCCTGGTTGTCGTTGTCGGCGGTCGTCACGGTGAGCGCATTCATCTTGAGCTCACGCTGGCGAAACCGCTCTTTAAGCTCAGCGTCGTCTCCCAAACTGGAGGCCACAGACGATGCGCGAGAGCCTACCTTATTGAACTTCGCCTCCAAATCTTTCAAATATGCCTGCTGGTCGGACAGCTCCTTCTCGAACACTTCGAACCGGTTTTCGTTGTTATCGTTCATCGTGTTGATGGTGAGGTCGAGGCGGTCGACGTCTGCCTGAACGGAGCGCGAACTGTGCAGAACTGGGGTAAACTTCCTGTCGAACAGAGTGGAGATAGCCTCTAAAGTAAGGGGTTGTGCATGTGGGGCCGCACTGTCAAAATCAAGATGGCGGGCGGTGCCCCGAATACTCTCGGCCTCGATGGATACACCATCCATCTCATTCAATGGACTGGTCTGGCGAGCACGCTTCTCTTCATTCCCCACTGGCGAGCCCCTCTCGCCTCCAAGAGGCGTCCCAGGAATCCTCGTGATCTTTTTCCGCGTCTCAGGCCCTTCAAGCTCACTCTCAAGATCAATCGTAGACATTTGCACGAAGTAGCAACGGAAAGAATGAGTAGAGACAGGTGTGTACGGTATCAGAGTGTGCCGAGAGACCTTGTGGTCCCATCGTTTGCATTCCAGTGTTCGACGTCTCGTTCACTGTGCTTCCGGCTACGCTCGATCGCAGTCAGCACTTCCATCTGCTGCCCGCGCTGGTGGACCTTCTGCGCCGCCGACAGAGTATGTGTGTGTGGGTGTGTGTAGTCCGCACTTCTCTAAGTTTTCCAACGCTGGGCCAATGAGGGGCCGGCTGCTTGGCCCGCGCGCGATCCGCGCGCGTGGGTGGACTGCGGCGCTGCGCCCGGCCGCGGACGACCAAACATGTGCGCGGGTGTGTATGTTCATGGTCAACGTCTTCGGCGACTTGCCGTCCCCCTCCCTCCTCCTTCGTTCATTTGGTTATGGGACCGTTTGTCCCCCCTGATCCCGCAGGATCTCCCTGCTCCACACGGGCCACTCTCTGCTGCTGGTGCGGGGCTGCTCTGGCGACCGCTGGCTTGCTGGGCCGGCCTTTCTCCTTCCTGCCCGCTTCTCCCCCCCCGCTCGCTACCCCCCTGCCCATGGCGGCAGCGCCCAGCACTGCGCGGCTCAGGCCCGGTGCCTGGCGCTTGCACCTTGCCGCCTCGGCGGCCCCGCGGGCCTTGGCGCTGCGCGGCTTAGGTCCGGCCCTTGGCATTGCGGAGCGGCCGCGCAACGTGTGTGGCCCCCGCCCGTTCCCACGCGCTTGCCGCTGCGGGGCAGGCGTCCTCCCTGCAGCACACCGGTACCCTGTCGGTTGTGGGCGGCAAGGTACCGGCTTCGCCTGGCCGCCGCGCCTCAGACTGCGGCTGCTTTCCCACGTTCGTGACACCTTGGACTACCGCGGCCTGGGCCTCTACGGCATCCTGTTTGGTGGCACAACGTTGCACTCCGACCCAGTGGTGCTCCTCTTCCTCTCGGGCGTCGTCTTGGTTGCGTGGTGCGTCTTCTCCCGCAGTCGATGGGGCTGGTGTACTGGAAGCGCCGCTGACGGCACCGCCGCCGGCTTTTCGCCCCCCGGGACTTCGCCACCGGGTTCCTGTCCAAGGCGTACCTTTTCCTGCACTTCGATTTCGGCACCGACGGATCCCAGGGTTTCGCCCTTTCTCGGCCTTGACGAAAGGCCCCGCCTTCTTTTGCCCCTCCTCTGCTAATCAAAGCTGTGCGTGGCCCGTTTAGCTTCTATCGGAAGAGGCTCGCTCTCGACCCGCAGATCAAACATGTGTATGTGCATGTGCGAGTTGCACACCAGTCGGCGTCGGGCGGGGCTTGGGCGAGGCCAAATCCGTTCCGAGGAGGCCGCGGCGCCCGAGATATCCTCCAGAGCCGCCAGATCTCAGAGATTCTCGTTTTACGTTCGCCCGATGTTATCCTCGTTCTGGTTTCGTCTTGCGGCGAAGCTTGTGCTGGTCGTGCACACTTCGGCTGCTCCCCCTTCTCTGTCTCGGCTCGGCTGCAGCTGTTGCCACTCGGCTCGTGCCTTCCACGCCGCGCGCCGACGCTCGCCGCTGTTTTCCCGCGATCGCGGCACTGCGGAGAGCTTCGGTTTCGGTTCGTGCGAGGTTCCTTGCGACCAGTTCCGTCCCACAAGTCATCTCGAGTAGGGAATCGGCTACATAATTGATTCACCCCCGAACTGGTTTCCCCCATCGGATTTACGACGACGACGTACAAATTGCGGAATTCTATTGCGGATTCCAAACATTTTCCGTAGATTCGACGAGACAATCAATTTTGATGTAAATCACTTTTGTAGTCGTTCGCCTACTCGAACATCATGTGCGCGTCCATCTCGCCCCTTGACGTCGGCCCCTGTCGTCCCCTGCGCCTTTCTTTGGCGGCTGTGCTAGGCCGCTGCCTCTTCGCCGCCACCGCCGCGTGTGACAGCGGTTCCCATGCACGTCAAGCACACTTGTGGCCTTCCAATCAATTGCTGCTCGGATAACGGTCCACAGCGATCCTCCGTCGGACCTCAGGCTTTCTTCCAGTGGCAGTCGCGGTTCCCGCAGCGAGGAGGGATGGGGAAGAGGAGGAGGAGGAGGAGGAGGAGGAGGGGGAGGAGGAGGAGGGGGGAGGCAGGAGGAGGAGGAGGAGAGAAGAGGAGGAGGAGGAGGAGGAGAAGGAGGAGAGGAGGAGGATCGAGGATGAGGAGGAGAAGGAGGAGGAGGATCGAGGAGGAGGAGGAGGAGGATCGAGGAGGAGGAGGAGGAGAAGGAGGATCGAGGATGAGGAGGAGGAGGATCGAGGAGGAATCGAGGAGGAGGAAGGAGGAGGAGGATCCGAGGAGGAGGAGGAGGAGGAGGAGGAGGAGGATCGAGGATCGAGGAGAAGGAGGATGCTTTGGAGGAGGAGGAGAAGGAGGAGGATCGAGGAGGAGGTTGCCTGAGGATCAGGGGCAACGGTCAGGTCGGCATGTCCCCCTACAGGAGAGTTTTCGAGGAAACATGAATCGAATATTCGAATGACTATTTTAGAATGTTCCTCCTGTAGAGGGACAGGCTCGAATTAAGGCAACGTCATGGGGGGATAGGCTCTGGGGGGACTGCATCGACCCCCGATCGCCCATTCATCGCCGATGGCCTGATATCCCGCCCCGCCGAGGAGCATGCGGATTCGCCATCGGGGGTGTATCGCCGATCCATCGGTGATGTATCGCCGATTCCAGCTCGATGGTCCCTCAGCCTGCGTCGCCGCGGCTGGAGCCGTTTCGAAAGGATGGCCAGAAGGCGCCCCAGAACAAGCCGGGGGTACAGTCTCGAGGGGGAGGGGGAGGAGGAGGAGGAGGAGGAGGAGGAGGAGGAGAGGAGGAGGAGGAGGAGGAGGGAGCAGGAGGAGGAGAGGAGGAGGAGGAGGAGGGAGGAGGAGGAGGAGGAGCAAGGAGCAGGAGGAGGAGGAGGAGCAGGAGGAGGAGGAGAGGAGGAGGAGGAGGATCGAGGAGGAGGAGGAGGAAGGAGGAGGATCGAGGAGGAGGAGGTGAGGAGGAGGAGGAGGAGGAGGAGGAGGAGGAGGAGCAGGAGGACAACGTTTTGCCTCTCAGCCCAGGGGGTCCGCACGCGGCTGCCCGCCGATGGGGGGGCTCCAGCGGGGCGGGGCGCGCCAGGCGCAGGGCCTGAAGGCCCAGCTCAGGGACGAGCAGCGCAAGAGCAAGCGCCTGGAGCAGGACGTGCAGAGGCTTCGCCGCGCGTCCCCGGGGCGGGGGAGAGGGGGGGGGCCGGGGGCGGCAAAGAGGGGGGTGATGTTTAGGAGGGGTGGATCTCATGGCGGGGGCCATGATTCATGATGTTTCCGCAGATTTCATGGCGCCTCTTCTCATTCCACTACGTCCCTGGCCCCCCCGCTGGGCCGCGCACGTGCCGCCGGCCATGATTTGCACCCCCCCCCCTCCTGGACACCCCCCTCTTGGCCGCTCCTGAGGGGGGGCGCGGAGCCCTGAGACGGGGGTCACTGCAAACGGGGGTCAGCCAGAGCGCCCGATCCTGCAGGATCCTGCAGTAGGGGAACAACAAGTTACATAAACAAAACAAACCGGAGGTCCGCGCGGATCTCTCGGATCGGCGCTGGGGCCCCCCGGCGGCGCCTCCGGCGCTGCCCCTGGCGCGCTCCGCGCGGACCTCCGAGTTTTTATGTTTATGTCTCTTTTTGTTCCTCTATGCAGGGCCAGGGTCGTACTGACCCGCTGCCCCTGGCGCGCTCCGCGCGGACCTCCGAGTTTTTATGTTTATGTCTCTTTTTGTTCCTCTATGCAGGGCCAGGGTCGTACTGACCCGGGCTTGGGTGCAGGATCCTGCAGGGCCCTGCAGGATCCTTCGCATGTGCCCGGGCTTGGGCGCAGGATCTTGCAGGCTTCTGCGAGGCTTGGCTGACCCGGGTCTGGACGGACCCGGGTCAGAAGATCTTCCTTCTTCTCCTCCTCCTCCTCCTCCTCCTCCTCCTCCTCCTCCTCCTCCTCCTCCTCCTTCTCCTCCTCCTCCTCCCTGTGTGGGGAGGAGGAGGAGAAGGAGGAGAAGGGTCCCTGCCCCACCCCCTCAGTGAGGGGGTGGGGCGGGCGGGCCCTCGGGATCCGGGGGGCGGCCGGGACCGCCCGGCGCCGGCCCCGCGAGGCTCACCTCGCGCCTCCAGGAGCGGGAGATGCAGAAGCAGAACGTCGGCTCGGCGCCGCGGGGGGAAGCCGGCGGGGACCGCTTCTCGGGGCCCTTGCCCTGTTGCTTCCCTCTTCCATACTCCCCCCATCTTCGTGCCCCCTCGTCTTATTTATGCATATACATACACATATGTACATATCTATATATATACATATATATATACATATACATATATATATACATATATATATATATATTCATTTGAGCAGGCCGAAAGATTTTCCTCTTGAGGCCCACATGACAAATGCGAAGTGTCGTTGACTTTAGCGGATGCGGGCGCAGCGATCATATCGCGCTCGCGTCGAGGTGGGGTGCGGCATATGTGATGGGAGGCTGCGGGGGTTGGCCAGGCCCGCTGTGGCGCTCGAGCACCCACATGTTATTGAGGCTGCGGGAGTTGGCCGGGGCAGCAGTGGCGCTCGAGCAACGACATGTTATGGGAGGGGTTCGGAGAGCTGGCCAGGCCCGCTGTGGCGCTCGAGCTCCCGACTTGGGCACCGCGGTCGTTTTTCCTCCTCCTCCCTCCTCCCTCATCCGCCTCTTCCGTCCTCCCTCCTCGTTCTCTTCCCTCCTCGTCCTCCTCCCTCCTCCTTCCTCCTCCTCCTCCCCCTCCTCCTCGTCCATCCTACCTCTTCCTCCTCCCGCCCTCCTTATGCCTCCCTCCCCCTCAATCGTCCTCCTCCTCCTCTTCCCTCCGCCCTCCTCCTCTCCCGCCTCCCTTACACTTCCCTCCTCCCTCCTCTTCCTCCCTCCTCTGCTCTCCTCCTCCCCTCCTCCTGACTCTTCGTTTGCCCTCCTTTCTCTCTTCTCTCCTCTTCTTCCTCGTCGTCGTCCTCTCCCTCCTCTCCGTCCTTCCTCCCTCATCTTCCTCTTCGCCCGCCCCTGGTTTGTGTCTCCCTACTCGTCCCCGTGTGTTGTGTCTCTCGGTAGGGAAGCCCCTCCCCCATAGAGTCATAGCTTGGGCTGCAGGTCCAAGGCTCCGTGGATCCATTTCCCCTTGGGTCCCTTGTATGAAGTATTAAGAATTTATTCAAGCAGAAGAATCGGATCCACGAAGCTTCCACGCCAAAAAAATCGATCCAGAAGACACGGAGATTGGATCCACGTGACTCGCACACACGTAATTGGATCAACATGGATCCATGCGTTCCCATGCAAGAGGAAAAAGCTTGAGGCCTGGGGATGTGTATATATAAATATTTACATATATATATATATATGTTTGTGTGTATGTATGTAAATATAAACATATATGTGTATATCCTCCCCCAGCCCTGCTCCTACTCGAACGGCAGTCCCGCCTTCCTCACCCCCTGCCTTGTCTGGCCTGCTAATTCTCGTGTTGCCCTGGGCGTGCGGGTCAAGAAGCTACGCGCCCGCCCTCTGCGCGCCCTCGGGCGCCTCCCCGGCGCATCCTGCGCCTCACGCGTCCCTTCCGCTAGGAGTTGGCGGAGCTTCGGTTCCCTTCCACGGCCGCAGTGGCCTCTCATGTGATGGGCCTGTTCTCCACCACCACCGCCAGAAGTTGGAGCGGGGGAAGGAGTTGGAGGAGGAGGAGGAGGAGGAGGAGGAAAAAGAGGAGGAAAAAGAGGAGGATGAGGAGGACCCCTTCCCCCTCCTACTTACGGTGGTGGCGGTGGAAAACAGGCCCAACATCATTCTGGCCTCGCGTGGACGGCTCAGGCTCCAGCCGTCCATCGCCTTCAGGCATCCACCGCCTCATCATCGAACTGGACATGCTGAACCGCCTCCTTCGTCTTCCTGCGCTATTATCTGGCCACCTTCGGGGCAGTCGCCCTCTCCACCTCCAGGGCCGGCGGAAGGGAACGTGCACAACCAGCGCCGTCACATGAACAGTACAGTCGGCGCGCATTGGGCGGCGCGGCCAGTCGCATGCCCTTGGTGTGCTGTTCCTCCTCGCTTCCCCCTTCGCGAGGTTGCGGGTCGGCCGCGGGTGACCGCGGTCGCGGCCTCAGCAGAGTACCTTTGTGTCCATTGTGTCCAGTGGCTGTTGGAGGCCATGTTACCGTCGGAAGAGTCTCGTGTCCTGTCGCGTGTCCTTCTCGTACGCGCTCCGACTGTACCATGACGTACATCCAGGACTGGCCGCGCGCCGGGTCTCTCTGCCCCCTCTCCCAGTTCGCGCGGACTGTGTCAGCGCAGCTCGCGGGCCCAACGAATGCGACGCACCCGTCCGTGGGAATAACCATGGATCTGGGTGTGGCCGTCCAAAAGTTCACCCAGGAAGCACCCCAATCAATGGATGGTGTGAAAATATGGCCGGCGCCATTCCTGGCCGCAGTTTTTGCTTCTCCTCCTTATCCTCCTCCATTGTGTCAAACCGATGTGCTGGATTGGGGTGGGCCGGGCTGGTCAAGTCGCTGTGCTGGGCTGATGTGGGCTGGGTTGGTCGGCCAACGCCAGGGGGGCCTCTTTTGTTAAGTCGAGTGCTGGGCTGGGCTGGGCCGGGCTGGCCAGCTAAAGCTTGGAGGGTTCCATATTGTTACTTCGCCAGCTTGGGAGACTCTCGGCGGCGTTCGGCGTTTGGCCGGCCCTTCTGTCAGAGTGTTATACAATTACACAATATGAGTATTACTATCCTCTCTCACCTGATGACGTCCGGAAGTTATTCGCCCCCCCTTCCGCGTAATGTTTTTTACAGAAGGATTTCCGGGAGCTGGGTTTTCGCTTGAGTTGTTTCCAAACTATTTTGTGGTGTTGGGTCCTCGTTTTGAAGAAACGGTCCCCGCGTTCCTCTCCTCTCCTCTCCTTTCCTTGTCCTCCCCCCCCTCCCCCCTCCCCCTCCTTGCCTATGCCCTCCGCATGTGTTCGTCTGGGCACGCCCCTCAAACGTTTCGTGGCCACATAGGGAGCCCCACCGAAGGCCCGAGTGCTACTGTCCACATGCGTCCCCCGCACCCATTCGGCACACCATTAAAACGTTTCGTGGCCCTATAGGGAGCTCCACCGAAGGCCCCAGTGCCACTGTCCACTTGCGTCCCCAACACCCATTTCGGCACCCCCCTCACACGTTTCGTGGCCCCACATGGAGCTCTACCGGAGGCCCCAGTGCCACCGTCCACATGCGTCCCCCACACCCACTTCGACACCCCCCTGACTCGCTTCGTGGCCCCACATGGAGCTCTACCGAAGGCCCCAGTGCCACCGTCCACATGCGTCCCCCACACCCATGTCTGCACCCCCCTGACACGTTTCGTGGCCGCATACGGAGCTCCATCGAAGGCCCCAGTGCCACCGCCCGCATGCGTCCCCCACACCCACTTCGGCATACCACTCACACGCTTTGTGGCCCCATAGGGAGCTCCACCGAAGGCCCCAGTGCCACCACCCACATGCGTCCCACGCACTAATTTCGGCACACCCCTCACACGCTTCGTGGCCCCATAGGGAGTTCCACCGAAGGCCCTAGTGCCACCGCCCGCCAGAGTCCCCCACACCTATGTAGGCACACCCATTACACGTTATGTTATCACATAGAGAGTTCCACCGAAGGCCCCAGTGCCACCACCCACATGCGTCCCCCATATTACTTCTGGCACACCCCTCACACGCTTCGTGTCGCCATAGGGAGCTCCACCGAAGGCCCCAGTGCCACCACCCACATGCGTCCCCCACACCCATTTCGGCACCCTCCTCACACTTTTCGTGGCCCCAAAGGGAGCTCCATCGAAGGCCCCAGTGCCACCGCCCGCATGGGTCCCCCACGCACACTCTTCACACGTTTCGTGGCCCCATAGGGAGCTCCACCTAAGGCCACAGTGCCACCGTCCACTTGCGTCCCCAACACCCATTTCGGCACCCCCCTGACACGCTTCGTGGCCCCATGGGGAGCTCCACCGAAGGCCCCAGTGCCACCGTCCACATGCGTTCGCCGCACCCATTTCGGCACATCCCACTGGGTTCGTGGCCCCATAGGGAGCGCCACCGAAGAAGGTATTCACATTTGCGGTACGCACGAATTTCTATGGTTGGGTCTTTCGCCAGGTTAATTCCAAAATGCTGCTCCTGCTGAAGCGCTGGCCTCCTGTTCGGGCTTCCGCTCTTTCCGAATCGTGCTCTCGCTGCAGCGTTGGCCTCGTTTCCGTGCTTCCGCTCTTTCCGAATCGTGCTCTCGTTGCAGCGTTGGCTTCATATCCAAGCTTCCGCTCGTTCCGAATCGTGCTCCCGCTGCAGCGTTGGTGTCATTATTTCCAGTGCCGTGCCACGGCATGCAGTGCAATGCTACGTGGTGTTCCGTTCTGCGATGCCATGCCTTCAGTTGCAATGTCATGATAGCAGTGCTTGACTACGCAGTGCCACGCCATGCTATGCGATGCTTTGATCTTCAACGCCATGCTATGCTATGGTCCGTTATGTGCCGCGGTGCGATGCCATTATGTGCGTTGTAATGATTTGTGATGCAAGTCTTTATTCCGCACCGGTACGTCGTGCTATGACATACTACGCTCTGCCGTGCTCTTTTACGCCCTGCTATGCCGTGCTCTACGATGCATCGCGCACCCTCTCGGGATCATTGCCCTGCTCGACATCCGACTGCGAATAGAGAGGCGATCTTTGCCATGGTAATGGATGGGAGGGAGGGGTAGGACGTCAGACATGACGCGAGCGCACTTGGCGTGGCGTTTACGCCCTCCCCTGACCGCGTCAGCTTCCTAATTTTCTGTCCTTCTCCTCCCTCCTCCTTCTCCTGGAGGCGGGGGGGTTGTGGAGCCCCTCGTCGTTCGCATACGGTTTTTATCTAGTGAAACGCTCTATCACCCTTACACTTTTGATTGTTGGTTGTCATTTTTCTTTTCGCCGCGATCCCCTCATACTAATCTTTCTCGTTATATCGTTCTCTAGTGGACTCTCTCTCTCTCTCTTTGTCTCTCGTTCTCGCTCTCTCTATTTGTCTCCCTCCTGCACCAGGCCAACGCATGCCGATGCGATACACATCCATTCCCAACCAACACCAATGCCAATACAATGCCACTGGGAGAATCCTTTCGT